ATTTGTTTCCACAATAGGTATGCATCTGAAACCTTCCGAGATTACAAGTAGATGGAGTTATTATTGGAGGAGAGTATATTGAGTAGTTTATTATTTTTTAAGGCGGATTGGGTACAAAACAAATACTTTATTATTTATTTATCTGCAATGTTTTAAAGATGCAAATGGATGACTTATCCTAGGCATGTCACTTGTATACTAATTTATCCTTGTACCTTTCCAAAGAAAATCAAGTTCATGACAAAAACTGCTCTTTCTTTTTGGCTTACTTGCTATATTTTCATTGGTGTAGGTCAACAGCTTGAAATTGTTGGATGAGATGGCAGAACTGAGTTCAACCTACTGAGTTAGACGATTATATAACAGAGCATATGATGGGTGGGGTATAAATGAGATATTTTTCAATCATTGAATGCAGTGGGTGTTTTAATTCTTTAATCCTCTTGGTGTTCGATAAAGGTTAAGGTTTGTGTTTGGTTGTGGAAAATTGTTTCATTTTTTTAGAAAATAGAATTGAGTTTTCTTTTTCAGTTTTCAATGAAAATTTTAGAAAACATGTTTGATTGAAAGCGGTGGAGTTTTCATTTTCCATCTTAGAAATTTGGAAAACTGAAAATTTTCATTTTTCTTAGAAAACTTTGCAAAACCGAACGAACCAAACGCGTTTTAAAAAATTCTGTTTTTTTCGGAAAAAACCAAACACACCCTTAGGGTTTCACTGTTTGGGTTGTATTGAATATCATGAATCCTTGGATTGCATCAAGTTCCTGATTACATATGGCCATCTGGTAAAACTGAATTGCATCTCCAAAATGATATTTTTTATACTTTTCTTGATAATTATCTTTCTGTTACAAAAATCTCTTACTAATAATATCTTATTTTATCACTTGTTATAGAAGAAGTTGACAAATTAGTCGCTTATGATGCTTTAATGCTGTTGTGCTTCATTCATTAGAGGGTAGTGATTGTTTAATTGAACCCTAAACGAATGAACAATATATCTACATGTGGGATCATAACATAGTCAACCCCAACAACAAGGCTGCTGCTCCCTTAAGTTAATCCAATTCTTTAAACCTGATTGATTGCTTTGATGCCAACTACTTTCACTTTATAATTAATGTAAAATTTGTTTTATTTTATTGCCTTATGATTTGAAACTTGTTTATATTTGTTGTTCTTGTATTACAACCTTTTCTTGATTTTGAATGGAAGAAGCAATCAAGGTTGGTTTGTTTCAAGAAAGAGAAGCATTTCACATTGACTTTAGAACTATATATGGAGTAGTATTATCTTAAGTTTTTTGGCACTGTTGTCTACACACCATAAGGATATCATGTAAACAGGTCAATTTTTTTTTTTTTTTTTTACTTATCTCAATTTTTTATTCTTATTATCATTAGGGTTAGTATTTATTAGAGGGTTGGGGCTAAATAGTGTCTGTTTTATTTAACATGTACTTAATTGCATTAATTATTCACGTTTGGTTTAAATTAGTTACCATTATGTCATGTTTTTTTTCTATAAAACTGTGAAATAAGCTTGCTTAAAAAAATAGTTAAAGTGAATGAAATATATAATTAGGTGATAATCATTCTAACATCATCTGGAAGGGATCCAAGTAAAACTCTCATAGCTTAGCATTTGATGAGATGATGTTTAAAGGCCAACATGTATTTTTCCTTTTGAAAATTAGAGAAGCTTGGGTCTATGTATGAATTATGAAGCTTCATTGATTTAAATTTAGTCATGTAATGTTTCTGTCTTCATTTTCAGATTATTATTATTATTATTATTGAATAATGGCAACAAGATAGGCATATCAGATGGTGCATGCTAAATTTTTTGAAGGAAATTTGTGGGAAATTACATCCTACTCTGCCCTCTTTTACCGATATGTACAAAATACATTATTATTTACTTATAATAGCAATGTATTTATAGTTTTTCATCCAAAAACAACAATCTTTAACTTGAAGAAATGCTAACAGGTTATCTTTTATTTTTTTTTGGTGGACAAGAGTATTTCAAGAAGAGAATTGGCACAGGGAGATTACATAGCCTCTAATGAATTCGAGAAAACATCATATGCCAAGTGCAATTAAGTTGGTCAATGTGAAGTAGTTTATTATTTTTTAAGGCGGATTGTGTACAAAACAATTACTTAATAATTTATCTGCATTTTTTTAAAGATACAAATGAATGACTTATCCAAGGCAGGTCACATGTATACTAATTTCTCCTTTCATGTTGGTTTTGTACATTTCCAAACAAAATTAAGTTCATGACAAAACAGATATTTCTTTTTGGCTTACTTACTATATTTTCATTGGTGTAGGTCAACAACTTGAAATTGTTGGATGACATGGCAGAACTGAGTTCAACCTACTGAGTTACATGATTATATAACAGAGCATATGATGGGTGGGGTATAAATGATCAATTTATGTATTTTTCAATCATTGATACTCAGTTGCACGTGTGTGTGGTTGGTTATTGCACTGTTATGAATGCAGTGAAGAGGCAAAAAGCATTATTTAACTTAAAGGTAACAATTTGCAAAACTTTCTTCACCACAAAAGAGGGAAGGTGCCTTGTAGTTTTCGTTCCATACTTTAAAGAATATAAATAACAACTTACTTTCATTTATTTGAGTTTTATGCATCCTACATAGTTCATTTCTTTCTATCAACTTTTTCTTATTAAGACATTGTACTTTGAAAGTTCAAAAAAATTTACGAAGTTATATAGCATCCTACTTTTAGCTATTTTCTTATCAGGACATTATAATTTTATAGATGTTTATAGCATTCGACTTTCATCTTTTTCTTATTAGGTTATTCTGCTTTAAAAATTATATCCATTTATAGCATTTTCTTATTGTGACATTTTACTTTGAATAACCTACCCTTTTATAGCAACATACTTTCAATTTTTTTTCCTTTTTCTTATTAGGACATTACACCTCAAAAAATTTACTTGTATGAATGAGAAGGATGGATGCACTCTCGGGTCATGTAGGCCCCCCTAACCCTACATGTGGTCAGTTTTCATCATAGCATCGGACTTCCATTTCTTTCTGTTATTATAACATTGTATTTTCAACCTTTTCTTTTTCTTATAAGGGCATTACATTATGAAAACTCTATTCTATGCAGTTGTAGCGTTGTACTTGTAATCTTTCTTGTTAGGACATCATAGTTTTTAAAATATATCCAATCATAGCAATGAAAATTCTTGGTATCATGATAACATTGCTATAATTGGGTGGATTTTCCCAAGTACAATGCTATAACTAAAAATAGGATGCTACAAATGAATGAAAGTACAATTTTTAGCATACATGTTTCAGAAGTAAAGCTTGTGGATGTCCCTGAGATGAACTATAATGATATAATCCTTGCTCTCTTCTCTTCTGCTTTTGGTATGCATTAGGTCCAATCCAAAAGGTAGTCTTTTGCAGTTTTGGTCCTTATTTCATGGTTTCTCAACCGCTTTTGGTACCTGGGTCGTCACCTAGATGTTAAATTTATGAAAATGACCATTTTGTCCCTCTTATCTTCGTCTCTTTCTATTCCATTTTCAAGGAGCGTGATGAAATTTCAACAAAATTTCTCTCTTTCCTTAGAAACTATTGTCATATATGTTGAAAGAGCAAAACTGAACACTAAATCCTTAAAAATAAAATCTTTTTGAAAATATGGTTAGAAAGTATTGTCATATATGTTGAAGGAGCATAACTGAACCCTAAATCCTTAAAAATAAAATCTTTTTGAAAATATGTTACTCATTTCATTGTTTGATAATATTGTATTTGGTTTCTTGTTCTCAACTTTAGCAGCCCATCTCTTAAGTTTATGATAATGACCATTTTGCCAATGTCTTCTTCATCTCTTCCATTTCCATGTTCAAGGAGCATAACTTGAACCCTAACAAAATTCATCTCTTTCCTTAAAAAAAAGTTACATCTGATATTTGATATGCTTAAAAATTATTCTCATTTTTGTTTCAGATCATCAGAAGCACAAATGTATTTCCTGTGAATAATTTTCAAAAGAACTTTGTCTTTATTGGAGCTTCCAACAAACATCTCTTGCAAATGGAACACCTTCATCTTCATTCAGAGGCTCTCCCTCTGATAACAATCAGAAGATACTTACTACTTCAGAAGACAATCATTTGGGCAGCAGGCAGAGGCCTTGTAGATGGTCAAAGTCAAAGTCAATGTCAAAATGAAGGAGGATAAATATTTTGGCTTCCAAAGACCACCAACCTCTTGAAATGGCCCCCGTTGATTCCCCCCATAGTTCCCAAAGATTCCCTGAGTACCCTCTATAATTTTCATGAAAAAGTTATTATTTTTCATCTATTTTTGGCAACTTGCTAAATTATCACTGGTCGGATGAAAGCCACAACAACATCCTTTTGGGGTTGAAGAGGTAACACACATTTGTTATTTATTTTTTTACATGGTAAATATCAACAAATAGCAAAATACTTCATTATTTTTACCAATGTATGCAATATATATTTATGTCTTTCTTATGGTAGTTTTGTGTAACCCGTAATAACAACATACTTGCATTGTCTTTACGGATAAAAGCATCGTACTTACAAAATTCCTTTCTTGTTTCTCTTTCATTGATTTGCATTTTACTAACAAAATAACTCAGGTCAAAATCTTGGATAAGTTGTTTGGTCTGAATGTGTTAGGTTTAACATATCCTAGTTTTTTGGTTTTTTTTATGAGGAGGTTAAATTATGTATTGACTATCTATTAACTTTTTTACTCGCTTCTAACTCTTCTTGTAATATTGGCTGATTAGCAACAACACTGTCATCACGGGTTATTATTAGGGTCATATAATCTGCCACATTTTATATAAATTTGTGAAGATTGTAAAAGCTTCCATACCTATCTTAATTTATGTATTTCAATTACTAATTTGTGGTTATTTGACAGGATAACCGCAGCAGTCAAGAGCAACTAGAAATCTGGAGAAAAAGCTAAATGACTATATACGATGCCAAGGTAAATAACTAAATCGTATTTTGCTGATTATTAATATATGACATGCCACGTAATTTTTTACATTTTGGCAATTTTCAGGTAACTTCAATTTTTTTACCACCTTTTACATAATTTTGAATATTGAGTAAACTTTTTAGATGTGATTGCAAACATGGAGGTTGTTGCTGCATTCCAATTGGGAAAGCTTTGACATAAGAAGTCACAGCCACTTCCTCAGTAAAATACTATTTTTAATGCATTTTATTAGATATCTCTTTGTGCAATTTATGGGAATAATTATTAGTTACATGTATCTCTTCTGCCTTTAACTGTGTTAACTTCTCACCTGCTTAGAAAAGGATTATTAATAAATACCCTTGTATGTTGATCTTTTTTTTGTTGATTTTTTAATGATTACAGAATGGGTATTCACCAGCTCGGCCTCATATGATGTTTTGGATTCACAGGCATATTAGCTCAAGGTAAGCATAGACAAATAAGTGAAAATTTGTTGCTATTTCTTGTATTTAACCTTTTCTTGTTTAGGCCAAATAAAGCATACTCTTGAAACATCTAATCTTTTTACTGTTATATAGTTATTTTGTGACACTTTTCACTTTGCATTTATTACAGACCATATGGTTTCTGACTGCAAAAATTTGGGTTTTTGAATCATTAGTTCCATTTTTTAAACAGTTATGAACTTCTTCGTATAATAAATCAAATATAAACTGAGTTTATGCCATTTCCAAATTCTAAATATGTTATGATGCTTGGTTAGGTTACATTGATATAAGAATCCTATTTTAGTCTTTGCTTCAGACTCCTTTTTATTATTTGATTTTTATGCCCTTTGCCAATTTCCATTTGGTTTTCTGATTACTTAGCCCAATTTGCATAGTTTGAAAGACGAGTTCAAAATCCAATTGTTGTTCTGATTTTGTCGGCTTACCTTTGATTAGCCATGTAGAATAAGGAGATGCATACCACTAAGAGGTAATTTATGATTTCCTTTGGTTAATGTAATTGGAATTAAATTGAATTAAAGTCCTCACTGAAACTACTCAAACCTAGAACATCTAGAAAACTATGATACATAAACAGCATGCTTTTTGTAATACATGGATTTTTTAGCTATTAGAATCGAGTTTGTTGCTCAAAGTTATTATGATTTATCTCAGGTTTTGGAGAAGTAAGCACATAGTAGATTCATGATCTAGTTAAATATCTATTTATTCCTAAATTTAATTACCTATTATGACATTAATTAATACGTATTAGTGGTTTTACTTTTACATAGTTCATAAAGAGTCGTCCAATTTGTCATCTATAGCATGTCCTAACAATTTCCTTTGTTATGATTCCTTATCCCATCTAAACCTCACTGCATTTCAGTAATATTGTTTTTCAAGAAAATAATCTCTGGTATTTAACAATAAAGTTTTCATTTTTCATGTTTTTTATTTACCCTTTTTACTTAAATTATTCACCTTCAATCTTTATAGGGTTTAACAGTAATGCTGGGAACATATGGGAAGCAAAGTTTTCTGCAATCAAAAAGGTTTTTATATCTGACTCCAAACAATGATTGCTTGCCAACAGTACTTTGTAAAATCTTAATAATTTTGTTCGTATATTTTACTTAATAATTTCCCTAATTCATAAACATGTTAGTAGGCCTGAAAGTGTGACAGGTGGATAAGGTTAAGCCATAAGCATGTTATTATCAAGATATACAATTAGAGATCCTTATAGATGTCAAGCCACTGAATCGACCCACCCATGTTTGATTTTGGTCAGTACTTGTCAAATTATACTTTCAATTTTCTTTTCTGTTACTTTATTTTTTTTTCATAATAAGACAATGTACTTGGAAAATCTAAGCAATTATAGCATTATTATTTCAATTGTGGCATTATAGTCTCAATATGTAAACCTATAAAGACATTGCATTTTAAAAGTTTAACTTTGCTTTATCAAATTACTGCCTTCAATCCATTGATTACAAGCAGACAAAGCATGGAAACAATATACTGGTGTACATATAGCTATAGCTATAAGTCTACGACCCTGTTTGTGTATTTCCAGAAATGCCCCTCTGTTTCTAAAACTTTTGTTTATTTATTATCTTTAGGAAAGGATGTGCTTATTTTCTTAAAAAGATTTTGAATATTGCATGGAGCATGCCTTCAGCACTTATTTAGTATGCCTGGTAATTCTTTACAATTTATATTTGTTATTTAGTAAAAAAAATTATGTATTTAAAAATTGTATTTTCTTTTAGCGAATTGAGACATCAGGGAAGGGTAATGCAACATGGTGTGGTCTTTAGTGGGCTGAAATGTTCTCATTTCTCTTTCATTGATTTGGATATTACTAACAAAATAACTCTGGTCAAAATCTTGGATTAGCCATTTTGTGTGAATGTGTTAGGTCTAACATATGGTAGTTGGTTTGTTTATGAGGAGCTTAAATCATGTATTGATTGTTTATTAACATTTTTATTCCATTCTAATCTTATTGTAATGTTGGATGGCTAACAACAAAACACTGTCATCACAGGTTATATAAATTTCTGAAGATTGTAAGTAAAGCTTAATTTATGTAATTAATTTCTCATTTGTGGTTATTTGATAGGATAACTGGAGAACACAGAAATCTGGAGAAAAAGCTAAATGACCATATGCTCAAATCTCTTTTGTGAGTAACCAATTCTGGCTAACAAAAACATTGCCATCACGGGTTATTATTAGGGTCACATAATCTGCCACATAGATTGATTCCCCATGGTACATAAGTTTCTGAATATGAAGAAACCAAACTGTACTTTGCTAATTACCTAATATTAATGAGAAGCCTTTCCCTATTGTTTATAGGCTTCAAATTGGGCATGTTGTATGCATCAGATGCTGGACAAGCACCAAATGTTGAGGTATAAATAAATTTATCTGTTCACAACATTCATCACATAAGAACTTACATGTTATCATTTTAAAATTATTTTTAGTTACTTGCCCCTGCAGCTTCTCAACCTGATTTTGCATCAACATGGTTCTAATTTTTCAATAAAGAATTTGTATGCAATGTACCCTTCGCAAACCATGAAGCCTTTGATCATCTATTACATGTAAGTTTTTAAAGTGCGTTGTTGCTCATTCTCCCATTTAAATTACATGGATGTAACTACAATGAATGTGGGTTGTTTTTTTTTTTTTTTTTTTTTAAATAACATTGATCCTATCAATAATTTTGTGGATCTTTTTAACATAAACCAGTTACCCCTGCTTCTGATCATGAACCAAATCCATGGGAATTGAATGTTAGTGCATTTCATGTGATACAATCTGTTTCCATCTTTTCATAAAGTGAAACTTGAATGACATGGATTTTTTTGACAGATGTCTAACGCTTCTCCTGGTCATCATCTTGGCTTTTTGCTCAGCAAAGAGGATGTGGGTGAGGTTCTTTCTGAAAAAAAAAACAATTTTATATAATGAGTAACTATCTGTAAATATAAACTTTTTAACCTTTCTCAATTGCATCAGTTGAAGGATATTATTCCTAACATGACTTGTTCTAAATCAGCATGCTGTTTTTCTTTTCTACCTTTTCTATTTTAATCCTAAGAGCAACTTAGGGCGTGTGTGGTCCATAGAAATTTGAAGGAATTGGAATGGAAGATTCCTTAAGTTAGAAATTTGGCTGACAAAATGGATGGAATTGGATTCCATTAAAATCCCCTAAAATCTATAATCAAAGAATTTATCATTCCTAGGGAAGAATTGGAATTCTTTTATTTATTTCTTCATTAAAAAGACTAAATTTTGTTCTTACAACCAAAATATTGTTTTTCAAATCTTGTGCCCTCTTCTTTATAATCAATTGTTATATTATTAATTAGTTATCTGTCTTCATTTTTAATGGCATGTTACTTTTTCTTTTAATTTTTATGAAATTAGAGTATGTATGTTTGATGTTTATATAATTACTATAGACATGGTCACTAGTAATAGTATATATTTAATATGTTTTAAGATTTTGCCACAATACTTTTTATAGTTTGACAATTTTAGTCCATATTTTATATGTTTCAATATTTTGCCACAATAGTTTGTATACTTTGACAATTTAGTCCCTGACATGTTGCAATTACAGATTGGCCCATGTCTTTTAATATTTGCCACTTTATGTCTCATTATTTTGTATGTTTCAACATTTTGCCACAATATTTTCTGTAGTTTGACAATTTTAATCCCTGGTATGTTGTAATTAGAGATTGGCCACATGTCGGTTAATATTTATCACTTTAAGTCCCTTTAATCATTTTGGCCCTCTTTTTGTACACATTTTCGTCTTACTACTTATATTTCATTACAAATTGGCCACATGTGTTTTAATATTTCTCACTTTCAGTCCCTTTGACCATTTTTGACCTTCATTTTGTCCCTTTTCAAGTCTATCGATCTGTGTTTCTGTTTTGTGCTTCATTTTGTCATCTTTTTCTCATCGTTATCCTTTATGGATAAAACAAAACGCATCTCATTGCCTAGGTGACCCGTGGTTCACCACGGGCCCACCCACTAAAGGGTGTTTTGGTCATTTAACATAATTTTAACTTCAATTCATTTGAATAATTTGCAAACCAAACACAAAACAACGCATGAAATGAATCAAAATTCCTTTCCATTTTCTTTCAACTATACACATGACATATTCCAATTTGTTTGACCAATTCCATTCATTTTAAAAGTACTTTGCGCAAAGGTTTTAGAAACCAAATACAGATGTTGTGGTTTAGAAAAGGAAAAGAAGATGCCCCCGAGAATCAAAGTGATAACATGTATATTTTTACCCTTAACACTATAAAACACTTGATGTTTTTTATGTTCTTATTTTGTTTTTCTGTTAATGTTTAAAGGTACACTTTTAGTTCCATTGAATCTCAAAAAGCCTACATTATCAAATTACGGCCTTCAATCCACTGATTACAAGCTGAAAAAGCATGGAAATGATGTACAGGTGTACAGGTACTATAACTATGAGTCTATGACCCTGTTTGTGTATTTCCAGAAATACCCCTCTGTTCCTAAAACTTGTGCTTATTTATTCTCCTCAGAAAATGATGTGCTTATTTATTTAAAAGATGCTAAATATTGCATGGAAAATGCCTTGAGCACTTATTTAGTACGACTGGTAATTATTTTACTATATATATATATATATATATATATATATATATATACATGTTGTTTAGTCAAGTTTTTTTTAATCTGAAAAGTTTACTTTCTTTTGGCAAATTGAGACATGAGGGGAGGGAAATGTCACATGGTGTGGTCTTTGGTGGGTTGAAATGTTAGAAACAAGTGGGTCAATATAAAGAGGGTGCTGGTGTTTAAGGTAATAATCAATTCTATTTTGTGAATAAAATTTTAAATGTGAGAATTTTGTGAACAACTTCAATCTTTTGCTGGAACCTCTTTGTTTAGCTGTGATGCTTGAAGAAGCATTTGATTGCTGTTACCTTTTAGCCAAACCAATTATATTAAGAAAGTATGGATTTTATCTCATTTTTTCTGATGATCTATACAAGAATTGCGACCAGATAGTGCAATTTTTGTATATATTTTAGTTGATAATTTTTTTTACTGTTAGTACTTAATAGATAATTTCCTTTAATATTTACTCATAATAGCGATGTATTTATATCTTTTCATCCCAAAACAACAAACCTTAACTTGAAGAAACACTAACAGGTTTTTTTCTTATTATTATTTTATCAGTGGAAGACAAGAAAAACTTTAATTTTTTGCTAACACATCATATGCCAAGTGCAATTTTGTTGGTCAATGTTTTATGTATGGTATGACTATGATAGATTATTTTTCTTTTTACATTTGTTGGCAAGCAACTTAAGGCATAATAATAGTGTATATCTATCTGCAGCAACCCGGGACCCAACACGTGTATGATTTTCCAAGGTAAAATTAATATTGTGTAGACATGTATAATTTTCCAAGGTCCAATGATGTATTCAACATAACCAACTTCCTGGTGCTCTTCAGGATTATGCACAACATCCAACTGAAGAAGTTGATGAATACAAACTCTGATAGACACGAGCTAATTTTTTCATTATTTAACAAATGTAACTAAACTAACTACTCTTTTTTCATTGTTTAATTAATAGCCTGATCTCTTTGAAAAATAAAAAGGTGCAACACCACATCACCTCTTCCATGTCGGTAATCCTAAGAAGTTATCTGTAAGTTTTCATTCTTATCATTTTTCTCTTTTCCCTTTTATTTTACTTCTCTAGGGTTTTTTGTATTTCAGATGTTGTAATCTGCACTGTATGTATGTATAAAAGAAAAATCAAAGCGTAGTTGCGTTTTTTTTTCAATAAACTCTGGTTTTCTAATTGCACAAGTTGTATTGCAACTAAAAAACATAAGGAAACTACATAGTTTTGTTGATCGTCTCGTTAGGGCTTTCTCCTCTATCTTTTTATTGATTTTTTTCTCTGTAAAATCTGATTTAGCGTGTCTGGTACGCTTGTTTCAGAATGTGTTATTAAGAACAACCAATTTTATCAGATCAGATCACGAATGTATTTTTCAAATCTCTTTTTGTGAATAACCAATTCTGGCTAACAACATTGTCATCATGGGTTGTTATACGGGTCACATAATCTGCCACATTTATCAACAGATATTGATTCCCCCATGTTAATTACTTAATATTAGTATACATGCAAAATGTCTAATAGGGTAATAATGAAAAGCCTTTCAATATTGTATATACGCTTCAAATTGCAAATGTTTTATGCATCAGATGTTGACAACCAAATGTTGAGGTATAAATTTATTTGTTTACTTGTTCACAACATTCATCACATGTTACAATGCTTTTTTTTAATGAGGATTCAGACTCGTTATTGTTGATGCAGGAAACAATGAGGATTCAGACTTGTACTTAGAGCCATCCATCACCTATCCACATCTGTAAGTTTTTACACACAATTCTAAGAGTTTTGAATGTTAACATTTTAAAATAATTTTTAGTTACTTGCCCCTGCAGCTTCTCAAACTGATTTTATGCCAACATGATTCTAGTGTTTCATTAAAAAATTTGTACGCAATGTATCCTTTGATCATCTATTACATGTAAGTTTTTAAATTGCATTGTTTCTCATTCTCCCATTTAAATTACATGGGTTTAATTATCATAGCAGTTCTATTGATTTTAAAAAAAAGTCACTAAAGGGTGTTTTTGTCATTTAACATAATTTTCACTTCAATTCTCTTGATAGATTTACAATCCAAACACAAAACAAAACATGAATGGATTGAAATCCTTTCCATTTCTTTTCAACCATACATACGACAAATTCCAAATCCTTTGATAAATTTCATTCATTTCAAAAATATTTTGAGAACTGCAAATTCCTTTCCATTACTCTGAGATTAATTACTATCCTTAATTCCAATTCCTTTTACAAATTCCATTCATTATTCTGCAACAAGAAAAGGTTTCAGAAACCAAACACAAAACTTGTGGTTTAGAAAAGGAAAAAAAGATACCCCAAAGAATCAAAGTGTTAACATGTATGTTTTTACCCTTAACACTATAAAACACTTCATGTTTTTTATGTTCTTATTTAGTTTTTCTTTTAATGTTTAAAGGTAGACATTTAGGTCCATTGAATCTCAAATACCTTGCTTTACCAAACTAATGCCTTCAATCCACTGATTACAAGCTGACAAAGCATGGAAATAATATACAGGTGTACAGGTAGCTATAAATATGAGTCTATGACTCTGTTTGTGTATTTCCAAAAATACTCTTCTGTTCCTGAAACTTGTGCTTATTTATTATCCTCAGGAAATGATGTGCTTATTTTCTTAAAAAGATGCAAAATATTGCAAGGAAAATGCCTTCACCACGTATTTAGTACGCTCGGTAGTTCTTTATAATTTATATTTATTATTTAGTCAAAGTTTTTTATTTATTTCTGTTAGCAAATTGAGACATTAGGGAAGGGAAATGCCACATGGTCTGGTCTTTGGTGGGTTGAAATGTTATAAACAAATGGTCAATATAAAGAGGGTTCTGGTGTTTAAGTAAATATTCAGTTCTCTTTTGTGAATAAAAATATAAATATGTGAATTCTGTGAAAAACTTCAATTTTTTTTGCAGGAACCTCTTCGTTCAGCCGTGATGCTTGAACAAGCATCTTATTGCTGTTACCTTACAATTGGTACCTTACAGTTTACATCATAATTTTGTGTACTCATATGATAAGCCTCAAGAACTTCTAGTTTACAGCAGGAAGGGTAGAAAGGTCAATAAATAATAAAGTAGCATGGGAGTGTGGTGAAGTGTATGTTTTCCCTTTTTGCTTTATCCTTTTCTTTCTGTTATTCCTTCAGGTGGTTATGACCTTAGCACTAATTTTGTTGTACTGCTGTAATCGTGGGGAATTTTGCCACCTGGGTTGTGGTCCCAGTGGTCCCTATTTTGAGGATTATTCCCTTAGTAGTGTATTTAAGCTTGTTTGCAGTGTAGGGCTGTTTATCGAGAATTTGTTATTGTTCTTATGAACCTTGGAGAGACTCTCACCTCTATAATTGTGAGAGAACTATCATCGATCATATGAGTTCTTGAGTTTATGTGCCTTTGTGAGTTATTCTTATTCATAGCTTATCATAATACTTTATTCACTGAAATTGTATATATTTAGAAAAAAAAACACATCACTAATTTGCTTCCACAATAGGTATGCATCTGAAACCTTCCGAGATTACAAGTAGATGGAGTTATTATTGGAGGAGAGTATATTGAGTAGTTTATTATTTTTTAAGGCGGATTGGGTACAAAACAAATACTTTATTATTTATTTATCTGCATTTTTGTAAAGATACAAATGGATGACTTATCCAAGGCATGTCACTTGTATACTAATTTATCCATATTGGTTTTGCACCTTTCCAAAGAAAATCAAGTTCATGACAAAACAACTCTTTCTTTTTGGCTTACTTGCTATATTTTCATTGGTGTAGGTCAACAACTTGAAATTGTTGGATGACATGGCAGAACTGAGTTCAACCTACTGAGTTACACGATTATATAACAGAGCATATGACGGGTGGGGTATAAATGAGATATTTTTCAATCATTGAATGCAGTGGGTGTTTTAATTCTTTAATCCTCTTGGTGTTCGACAAAGGTTAAGGTTTGTGTTTGGTTGTGGAAAATTGTTTTATTTTTGTAGAAAATAGAATTGAGTTTTCATTTTCAGTTTTCAATGAAAATTTTAGAAAACACGTTTGATTGAAAGCGGTGGAGTTTTCATTTTCCATCTTAGAAATTTGGAAAACTGAAAACAAGAACAGTCCGGACAACTTAGCGAACTACACAGAAATAGAATTAGAAGACTAGGTTTCTCACTCTAGAGAACCCCGGTCATATTCTTCCAGAGAACGACGGATCGCATTGTATGTGCCTCGGTTATCGAGGACTCCGTCGAGATTTTTCATTAGAAATCGTTATCTCTGCCTCGCGTAGACGAAATGGTTGAGCAAACGCAAGGAAAGAAACTACTTCCAGGAATGGATCTGAAATCCGAATATCACCAGTTCGAGTGTTAGGGAAGGATGTCCGGAAGACTATCTCCTGAACTCGATGCGGACACTTCGAGTCCGTAGTGATACCCTTCGGGTAGGACCAGTACGCCCATAGCTTTCATGAGCTAAACGAGTAGGGTACGTCTTTCTTACTTGGATCAGTTCGTCATTTCTCCAAGTAATGACTTACTTATCTACCCTTGTAGTAAGAAGGAACCCATGGGAACATTTCCTTCAGAGGAACTTTTAACGATGTTCTCAAAGCATGAGTTTTGAAATTGAAGAGTCAAATGTTTTAATTAGAGTAGAGGTTTTTAAGAGGGAAAAATCCACAACCTCTCTTCCTAATTCATCCATCATCGACCTGCTCTTTCGTCGGTGCTGCTCCGCCCTCATCTGCCTTACTCCAACCTCATCTCCCCTGGTCCGAGATCAAGGTTTAATTCACAAGCTACACACGACTACCAAGAAGATTACCTGACATATTCACATGATAGATCGTAATCGTGAATGGAAAAGAGAGAATTAGAGAAGTAGAACAACATAAAGTTAGAAAGGAATGTTATATTCAAATTCTCTTTTGATTTGATTTTTGAACTGATCCTTGAGGAGGGGGCTCAGATCTAGATCGGATAGTCATCTGATAATAATAGCGATGGCTGCAGATAATGAGCATATATCCCCTTTTTTGAAGAATCGATACCATACTTTTGTCTAATGGCCACCTCAGAAAGCGATTCTTCCTCTTGATAAGCCATCTACCTCCCCGATGAGTACTCTATTTTCCTTTCTGCAAAAATTCAGGCTTTACGTAACTCGGTCGGTACTCTCTTAACGACTTGTGTTTCATTTTTGCTTTGATATGCTAATGTGCACGTTTACACTGTTTTCAAACCATTCCTTTTGCTTACTTGTTCCTATGTTCTCTTCCTCATGATAATGTTCGACGTGAATGATGTTCATTATGTTCTAATAATTGATAGGTTATTGAAAATTGACAGGTTAGAGGCTTTTGATCCTAGCATTCGTGAGGAGTTAGCAACTTATACAAAATGTGAATGTTCTAAACTCTTAAGAAGCACCCATGAGGGTAATAAATCCATAGTGACTCAAGTTTATCACCGCTTTCTATGGAGTTGTTATATATATATATATATATATATATATATATATATATATATATATATATATATATATATATATATATATTCAAGCATATATACATTTCACATCATGTATTTATTATGCTTTATCTTTTTTAGGTTTCGTTAAATTTCTTGGACCATACTACATGTTGCTAATTACACAAAGAAGGGCAATTGGCTCAATTGGTGGCCACATAGTATATGCAATCTCCAAGACCAGAATAATAGCTTTATCGGATTCTACAACTCAGATAAGTTTGACTACTTTTGACTACTTGGAGACACAAAAATAGGTAATCTTTTTTAATTACTTCATACATTGCATTCATTATTGTACTTTGTTTATTATAAGGATTTTTTTTTCTTGTTGTAGATACAAGAAGCTACTATGCACGGTGGATCTTACAAAGGACTTCTTTTTTCTGTTATTCGGCTGTACAAAATTGTGGATTTGTACCACTTTTTAGTCATAAGGAACTCTACGCTTGAATATTAAACCATATATAATGTGTATGGTTAATCGGTTTCTTTTAATTAGTATATGTTGTTTGCTATAATCTGTTAAATCACATTAATCTTTTAGTATTAAGGAATGACCAAAACTATGAAGCTACCAGACTTCATTTCAAAATCTTGCCAAGATATATGGGAACCCATCATTATATTAACTATAATAAAGGTAATGTTTCAATTTCTTACCCATATAATCTTTTTCTATTTCCGTATGATTTCATTTTATTTTTTTAACAAACAAATGAAAGAAGGCCTCGAGAATCAATCAATTATACAAAATTTGCTAATGCAATTAATTCTATTAATACAGGTCTATCAAAAGAAAAAAATCTCAAATTTCTATTTCTTCACTAGGATCTGCACAAACATTCTAGAAGGTTAATTGCCTTTTCTTTTCAGTTTCCAGTTTTATTATTTCAATTGCCCTTTTACCTTGCTTTATGTTTTTTATTTATAGTTGTAGTCATTAACTATTAATATTAATACAACTCCCAAGTTTTTTCCTTTTACATTTGTTCCTTCCATCCTCTCCATCTTCTTCCTCTGTGTACTGTATTTTTAGTATTTCAGCTTAATCTAATATCAGCTTGAATCAATGCACCTTTGCAAGAGTGACATTGTAATATGTAATAAGAAACTAGGTCTACCTTTTTCTACATCTCTTTGACTCTTTCATTTCTTACTAATTGGAAATTGCTTCCTTTTCTTATTAGAAAATTCAGAATCATTATCATTATCTATAGTTCATCACTAAACCTGATGGAGGGTCTCAGTTGTTGGGGCTCGTATTTCACTTTTCATAGAATTCACGTACGAATCATCTTCATCAACTAAACATAGATTTGAATTGAAAAGTAATACAAATTATGACATCTTTTTTTTTTTTAATTATCAAAAGTTTTTGTGGTATATGTAGGCAAGGTAAACTGGCGTTTCGCTTGCTGGAAAGAACTCTATGTAGGCCTTGGCATAAGATCAACTAAGAGCATGGTTATCTGGGAATCAAATTTCTATCTGGTAACTGGCTCATTCTACTAAGTTTTGTCAACTTATCATTTCATAACTAGTTCCTACAATTCTTATCAAACCTCATGTAAATTTGTAAGTTATATTTGATTGCATTGAGCGGTTTCTGATATGTATTTATCATACTATATATTAGGTTTTATGTATACAATATGTGATAGTTGATGAAGCTCATTCATATAAAGAGATCATTTAGATGCCATGTTGCTCTTACTACAAAAAAAAATGCCAATTAGTGTCACTAAAGGTCTTTAGTGGGAGCGTTTCTAGTGACACTTATTATGTGTGCCGCTGATTCTCTTAGAAGCCTTTAATGACACTTTTTGGTGGTTTCAGTGGCATTTTTTGTATGCCACTAATTGGCATTTTTTTTGTAGTGACAATTTTTTTCTTTTATTGTTTGATGTATATAAAAAAAACATCTTTTTTATAGCAAAAAGTTAAAAAGAAAGGGAAAAAAAACCTACTAAAAAACAACAAAATGATTAAAAAACTGAAAATATACAAAAAAAATTTAAAATTTTAAAACTACACCTATTTTGATAAATATTTTTAAAATTATACTGATAAATATTATTTCCAAAAACACGTCCAAAACTCTTGTAATTTCATATAACAATGCACAGTTTTTGGGATAATGACTTAAAAAGGTAACGAAGTTTCAAAAATATATAAAAAAACAATTATCTTTTTTTTTAGTATACAAAATAGGAAAATTGTCAGAAAAGTTCCAATATTTTTAGGAACGTTACACTTTAGTTCCTAGATTTTTTTTAACATAAAGTCTCGATTATTTGTAAAAGCACGATAATATGTCATTTCTTTAGACTTTTCTGACAATTTCCCTACAAAAATCCAATAAAGTATATTTTTTATACATAAAATACCAACGAAATACACATATGTTCAAATAAAACCTTATGGTAACCGGTTACCTCAGGTAAACGGAAAAATAACTTAAAAAGGTAACAAAGTATCCAAAATGTTCAAAAAATATCATTATTTTTTAGTATAAAAAATACCTTTGAAGTATATCAATTGTACACAAAATACCAACGAAGTACATATTTTAGTACAAAAAATACCATTGAAATTTCCAAAATGTCCAAAAAAAAAACCATTGTTGTTTTTTCAAATCACATTTTGTTAACTTCGTTATTTCCGGATTAGTTACTGTCGTACCAGTTCACACCAGTTGTGTACTCTTTTTCATTCGATCACTCGATCAGTTTGTATCTAAATCCATATTTAGGAATTCTCATGACATAACGTCACACTCGTTTCTCCTTTGTGTCTCTCTTGTGTCGCAACACTAATGAACGGCTAACCTTGATATATATATATATATATATATATATATATATGTGTGTGTGTGTGTGTGTGTGTGTGTGTGTGTGTGTGTTTTAGGTTTGAGGTATAAATGTGATCGGGAAGCAAGATTGTTTACCTAAGGTTATTACCCACATACTTCTCTTGTTACCATAAGAACGATCGAGTGAAGGCATGAAAGAGATTTGCACAATTGTTGTGAACTGATATGATGATTCATGATCTCCGATGATTGTGTTCTACATAATCCGACAACAACGCAGTTAACAAAAAGTGTGATATTTTTTGAATATTTTTGAAAATTCGTTACGCTTTTAAGTCATTTTTCTATGTACCTGAAGTGTCTGGATACCATAATATTTTATTTCAACACATGTGTACTTTGTTGGTATTTTGTGTACAAATAGTAACATTAATGATATTTTTTGTACTAAAAAAAACAACACTAATATTTTTTGAATATTTCGAAATCGGATAATCTACGATAGCCGGTAAAATGGTATTTTATGTATTAAAAAAATGATAATGGTCTTTTGTACATTTTTCAAACTTTCATTATCCCCACAAATTTTTAGCATAAAATACAAAAGTCATATAATAGAACACCAGGTGCCTGAGAAAGCTGGTAAGTTAGTTAAGATACGGAAGGTTTCACTTTCAGCTCTGTTGGCTAGCTGCGTGGTCTATCACCCTCGCCATACTTCCTGCCATTAACGACTTCTCTCCATCTCTACGTAGAAATCACTATATATATGTGTGTATGCGTCAAACGTAAGATGGAGAGAGAGAAAAGGGTAATGGGAATTGACGAGGACCTGGTCAAATCGATGTGCAATTCCCCCAAAACAGCACAATCTCTCTGAATTTATAATGGGTGGTTTTCGAAAATCAGAGATTTTTTTTGTTGGCGGACGAAATGACGCAATTTTAAAACACCCTCCCATTCTCCTGTCCAAAAGGTCCTGCTATTTTTTTTTGTCGCTGGTAATTCCTTCTTCCTCCTCCATATTATCTGTTTCATTTCATTGGTTTTACCTTAAATGTTCATACCCTTTTAGGGTATGCACACCATCTGTTTGTGAAAATGCAAATTCATGAGTCTGGTTTATTGTTCTAATCAATAAACCATCAGATATCAATATATCGACCAAATCTTCAACGAATCTTGAATCATTTATATGAAATGCATGTCATGATTTTAAACTCAATTATGGCTTATGATGATTGTAAACACTAACGTAATATAATCTTTTGTTTGTTCATGGATTTTGCAGCACACATATGTAAAAGCGCTGGTATGAACCTCCAGATTTCTTTTTCATTTTGCCACTTTATATACTTTTAACATATAATTTCTAAAATGTGAAGGCATTTGATAATGGCCCTAAATTCGGCACCACAATCAAACTTACAAAATGCAATCTTGAGTAACCATATACACGGACCTCTTCACCACCCAAATCGGTCAAGTATGCTTCCTTTTCTTCTTCCTTTTTCTATATTAAATTAATTTATGTTGCTCTTTTTTTTTCCTAATACACAATATAATCTTAGTTTTTTTTTATGAATTAGGCATGGAAAAGATTGAGGTAGAGAACCCTGAGGATGAAAAGAAGTGTAAACGTAACTCTTTCAAGCATAAGGCCATTAGTGCCTCAAAGAGGTTTAAAACTTCCTTCATCAAAAAGGGAAGGAGGAATAGTAGAGTCATGTGTGTTGTTGTTGAAGATGTTCATGATGCAGAGGAAATAAAGGCAGTGGATGCTTTACGTCAAGCTTTGATAGCAGAAGAATTATTACCTTCAAACCATGATGATTACCATATGATGTTAAGGTTACCTTATTTTTGAATCTTTTTGATGTTTCAATGTGAAAAAGTAAGTTTCTAACTATGTTGCTATAGATTCTTGAAGGCCAGGAAATTCGATATTGAGAAAACCAAGCAAATGTGGGCTGATATGCTCCAATGGAGGAAGGACTTTGGTGCAGATACCATCACGGAGGTACTTTTGTTAAAAAGACCGAATTGCCCCTTCATAAGTGTCTTCGGATGTGTTTCTTTTTTACTTAATGAGCTTAATGTGAAACTGTGTTATACCTTAAATGGCCAAATACCCATTTGGTGAGAACTTGTTTTAATTTTAGTATAATTTTTTGTGTAGGATTTTGAATTTAAAGAAAAGGAAAATGTTCTTGAATACTACCCTCAAGGGCATCATGGTGTTGATAAAGATGGAAGACCTATTTATATCGAGAGAATTGGTCAAGTTGATGCTACAAAGCTTTTACAAGCCACAACACTGGAACGTTATATAAAATACCATGTAATGGAGTTTGAAAGAACCTTTACTCATAAGTTCCCAGCCTGCTCAATTGCTGCCAAAAGACACATCGATCAAAGCACCACCATTCTTGATGTTCAAGGAGTTGTAAGTTTATTATTTATAATATTACAACATAATCCAATGCAAAATATAGTAAATATTTAGTTCAATGGTGATGAATTAGGGACTAAAAAGCATGAACAAAGCTGCTAGGGAACTTATCCAAAGTCTCCAGAGCATTGATGGAAACAACTATCCCGAGGTATAATCTTTGGTATACAAGTTTCTTGATGTATATATATTTTTATAAAATTAAGAAAATTGTTGGTGTGTTTATTTATTTTTCTTGTTCCTTATAGACTCTATCTCGCATGTACATAATTAACGCGGGGTCCGGCTTTAGGCTACTGTGGAACACAATCAAATCCTTCCTTGACCCAAAAACTACAGCCAAGATTCATGTAAGTTGATTTGTACCAATTTTTTAAAATTTTAATTATTTTTTAACTCATGACAAGTAAGTGATATTGTTGAGTAGGTTATGGGAAACAAATACCAGAGCAAGCTCCTGGAAATCATTGATGCCAGGTAGTTTTACAAAATGATTTTCATAAGTATTTGTTTTGTTTTTATTAATTGTGTGTTGATTTGATTCATATGCATATATTTTGGCAGTGAACTTCCGGATTTTTTGGGTGGTAGTTGCAGTTGTGAAGATAAAGGCGGTTGCATGCGATCCGATAAAGGTCCATGGCAAGATCCAGATATCATGAAGGTCATATTCATATTCAGATTAAAAATAAGATTCATTTACTGTTGAATTGTGTATTAATTAATCTCGAAGCATTTTCAGATGGTTTCTAATGGCGAACACAAGTGTTCCAAGGATGCAGTTATAGAAGAGAAAACCAGTTCTGAGGATCAGTTTGTAATTTCTTAAATCTTTTTTATTTTTAATTTTTCATTATTTATTTATTTCTACTATAAATTTCTTCAATCTTTCATTTGATAGGGTGTTACTATGCAAAGGGAACACATCAGGCCCTCACAACTTTCTCCTGTTCAAGAAGAAGTAAGTTACCATATTCCCTTGAATCCATAGGGAACAATGAATGAATGAAAAAAAAAAAATAGGGTTGTTTGGTTTAATAAATTGAATTGTAGGATTGTGTAAGGAATGGAAAGGAGAGCAAAGATTGTAAAGCTGCAGAGGAAAAGGCGGATGATGATTGGGAGGTTAGTTCTTCTAGTGGTAAGCTAGGGAACCAGGTGGTTACAGGCTTGATGACGTTGTTTATGGGGATTGTGACAATGATGCGGATGACTCGTGAAATGCCCAGAAAGCTAACCAATGCCACTCTGTATTCCACTGGTTTTTTAGACGATGACAATAAAAAACCCACCATTTCAAGGACTGAATACCAGAACTTGATGAAACGGTTAGCGGATCTGGAGGAGAAGGTGGTTGCCCACAACAGCAAAACGGCTGAGCTGTCCCCTGAGAAACAAGAGTTGCTCAACACCGCTTTGCATCGTCTTGATGCCTTGGAAACAGAGCTTGCTGCTGCCAATAAAGTATGTAGACGTATCTTTAACTTTATGATTTTTGTTTTAGAACATGAGTTAATTAAGATGTATGATTTATCCAGGCTCTTGATGAGTCGCGTGTTCAACAACAACAAATAGTGGCGTTTTTAGACAAGCAGAAGAGAAGGAGGAGGAAGAAGAAGAAGTTTTTTTGTTTTCAGAACAACATATGATACTAACGAAAAAAAAATGAGGGGATATTTTTTTAAAAAGCTCCATTTGTAGATATAACTTTACACCATCTATTGCTCCATCAATAAACCTTGGCTTTATTTTTTTTGCTGATTCATAACTTTGATATATTTGTTTTGTTTTCTATTTTTGGATATTTAACTAATAGTTAAAACAGTTTTATTTATTTATTAAATTACCCATAAGGTTTTGAGCTCCTCCTAGGATAGGTATACCGTAAATTGAACAAGCCCAAACCCACATCACACTGTAATAATATAAAAGCACTCTCAAAGTGGTAGTTAGCACAAAACGCGTAAATTGTTAACATCTTCGTATACATTAAAAACATGAAAAAGGAATACACATTTACACACTTTTCACCAGCAAGAATGTTTCTTCTTCTGCAAACACATGTAACAATGTATTAATAAACATTTCCGTTCTTATATGCTACAAAACATAGCAACAATAAAACAAAACTCACCCTGAACTTTTTCTCCTCTTGACCATCAATGTAAGCCAACAATTCCTCTTGCCTCAACAAAGCTTCATGCAGAGCCTACACAACAAGTAGAACAAAAACAATGACAAGAATATATAATACTAAACTTTGAATCATATTGTACAAAGAAAAAAAAGTTTTACCTTTTTGGTAGCAATAAGTTCCGCTTCTAAAGCATCAACGCGACAAACAGCAGCATTTAGCAATTCCTCTTTCTCATAAGGCATTGTGGATGGCTTCGAGTTCAATGTATCAACCTTCTCTTCAAGCTCACCTAACCTTTTCAACACGGAATTGAAAACCTCCGCTTCTTTAAAAGACGGAATCGGTGATGGCGGTCGGAATTCCTCTTTCCCAGGCCCATCAAACGAGAATTCCTCAGCCCTTTTAACATCCTCAGATCGCGTGTCAGGAAGCTTCTTAGTCACACGCTTCAACACCGTATTCAAAACACTAAAAACAGTCATCAAGAATGCCACAAGCATCACCCACATTCCGTTAGCTTTTTCCACTCCCTTTTGACCTTCAATAAATGTCAATGTCCGCGTTTGACTTTGACCTCTGGGATCATAAGGCTTTGGAGCTGAAGGTTGTTTCCTCCATCCAGAATCAACAGCTTTATCCACCATGGGAACATACTCATCGTATCCAGAAAACGGGCCCGCATAACTTGTACCCCCAATTGTCTTCGCCTATACACAACACAAAATATAACTTTTAAATAATATAAAAAAAAAAAAAAAAAAACAGTAAACACTTACTTCTTCACGAACAGGAGTCAACCTAAGATGTGAATAACTCCTCATTGCTTTCGGAGATGCAATATCTTCAGCTTCGGATCCTGACTCAGCAGTCGATGTATCACTGCTTCTAAGCTGCTCAACAAATAAATAAATAATGAGAAAAAAAAATATTTTTTTTTTAAAAAAAAGTTTGTTATTTAGTTGTTCCTACCGCATGAAGCTGAGGCTTAGCATATGCGACAATCTTTCCTTCACTGTTTAAAACTTTAACCACCTGTCTTGCACGCCTTGCTTCACTATTAAGAGCCAACTGTTGAAAAAAGTCCCACAACAGCTGATTTAGTTTAAATAAAAACATATAAGAAAATATTACAAGTGGTTTTGAGCTTAACCTTCAAGATTTCAGGATTATTCCATGGTCCTTTATCAGATAAAAGACAACCCCCTTTATCTAAACATTGTGTACATGTGCCACCTAAGAAGTCCGGCAATTCACTGTAAATTATTGTTTCAAGTATTAGGAAATATTAAACTTATAAATAAGAACCAAAAAAACATAATTAGTAAATTACATTGATGAGAACATTACCTGGCATCTATTATCTCAAGTAGTTTATTCTGGTACTTGCATCCCAGAACCTAAACAGAAGAAATTTTATATTGTATACTAAACTTGTGATTTTTATTTAAAATGAAAAAAGATATATGAAAAGATTGAAGCGTACGTGAATCTTTGAAGTTGTTTTGGGATCTAGAAATGACTTTACAGTACTCCACAGCAGTCTAAAACCAGGGCCAGCATTGATTATATACATTTGATGAAGTGTCTGTTAACAAATATATAGTGCCAAAAAAGTTAACTAAAGATTATTGCTAAAAGAAAAATCATTACATTAATGAAGCAAACTAATCTTACTTACTTCAGGATAATTGTCGCCATCAATTTTTTGTAGACGCTGAATGAGTTCACGGGCACCTTTAGTGAAATTCTTGAGCCCCTGAAAGTATTCAAAAATGAAAATAAAAATATATTGAAAAAGATTATGTAAAGTGTGAACAAAGGGGAAGAAGAACATACCACGCCTTGAACATCCAAAATGGTTGTGCTTGAGTCTATGTGTCTTTTTGCAGCAATTGAACATGCGGGAAATTTAAAAGCAAAGCTTTTTTCGAATTCACGAACATGATATTTTATGTATCGATCCATGGTTGTAACTTGCATGAGTTTGTTGGGATCAACTTTCCCTAATCTTTCAATGTAAATAGGTCTTCCTTCTTTGTCAACTCCATGGTTACCATGGGGGTAGTACTTCAGAACTTCAGTCAACTCTTGAAATTCGAATTCCTGATATAGAAAAAGAAAAGAGATATCAGTTTTTAATGCTAGATGAAAGAGAAAGATGATGACACCGTATCATGTTTTGGAATTTAATCACCTCGATAATCGTATCAACACCGAAATCCTTTCTCCAGTGTATCATATCAGCCCACATTTGCTTTGCCTTTTCAATATCAAACTTCCTTGCTTTCAGAAACCTAAAGAAAATAAAAAAATCAATCTTTCATTCTTTTAGATGTTTTAAGGTCAAACAGAAATAGTACCTCAACATCATATGATAATCATCATGTTTTTCTGGCAGCAATTCATCCAAAAGGAGTGATTGTCTGAATTTATCAACAGCTCTTAGCTCCTCAGCATCTCGAATATCTTCAATTGAGACAGAGCTGACTCGTCCATCACTTTTTCTTCTACTCCCCCTTTTCTTGAGAGAATGTTTGAACTTGGTTGATGCATTTAGTGCTTTCTTTTTCAGTGAGCCAATTCTTGTCCTCCTTTCATCCTCTGAATTTTCAAAATCAGACTTTCTTTCTCTTCTCTCTGATCTCTCATCATTGCCTGAAGACCCCTCAAAGCCTGTGAAATAGCAGATACATGAGAAGTTGAGAACATGTGTTTTCAACACCTTAATGACAAATCTTATAACAGTAGCAATTACCTATACAGATATCATTAATATCCTCTTACATAACTCAGATAGTATAAATGAGGTTCCAAATAGCAGAAACAAAAGTTAATGTTAAAGATCCCCAAAAAGAATAGGAGGAATGATGATAATTAGAAAACAAAAACCCTAGCTTAAAACATTGATCTACATCATCACATAAAATTAAAAGCAGATCATACAAAACTCCAAACGGCACCCTGAACCCCGTGTGGCCAATTAAAACATAATTAATCAACGACATGAGCTTAGAGATTATATAAAACACGTAATTACACGGTAATTCCGGTAGTATCCACAAAAATTGTAATCTAACTCTACCGAAACCCTAATTTCCTCATCGGCATCAAGAAAAAAGGAAAAGTAAACACTTACAAGGCCTTGCAAATCGATCGAGTGGTCCAGACATCGATTCACAATTATCAACAAATCACTAACACCTCAGAATACTCCCGCTTTCAAGATCAACCGCGAAATCACACCACAAAACCTACATCAAAATTAGAAAATTCTAAGCTGAATTGATATGTAGAAACAGTTGTAGTTCATTAATTGATCTTTAAGAAACTATATTTTTACCTTCGCGGGATGGATCCAACGGCGTAATCACAATCGGCCGGTGACGATCAAAATATTTTGTAAGAAATAAAATTAAAATAAATTATGTAAAACGAAATATCGGCAAACACAAAGATGTCGATGAGGGGTTTAATCGAGGGGTGTGGGGTCCAGGATTGAATCAGTGGGGTTGGGGATGCCACGTGGCAGATTGAATGTCGGGTGGAGTCAGAAGAATTATTCTGCGGAAGCGGCATAATTGAGTGATGATTCGGTCACAGGGCGGTGACATGTGAAATCAAAGTCAATGTTTTGACTTTTAAGGTGGTGAAGCTATTTTAAATAACAAAATACCTATTTGTTGTACAATTAACAACCCATTATCTTTAATTCATTTTTTTAGAGCATTTCTATTCATACTTTACTCTTAGATTTTATTTTAAATTGTTAAATAAAATTTAGAATGGTTAATATTTAATCTCACTTTAAATTCTATTTTATATTTTAAAATTAGGATTAAAATGATTTTAGAAATAAAATACAACTTATGATAATAATTTTTGAAAATCTTGATTTTCGAACTATGAATCCTTATATAAAGTAAGTTCTAAAATCACGGCTTCGCACTTTACTAGAAAATTTCAGACACGGTTCATAAATAATTATTTTTCGAAACAAATTATGTTTTTCAGCTCTTAAAAATAGTTTTTTTCAAGATTCTTAGACTCGTAATGATTTTTCGAACTCAGTATGATTTTCAATACTTCGATTTCTAACATAAAGTTATTTGGAAACTTAAATATAGGAAAATTTAAAACAAAATTATGCTTTTTGAAGTACTTTTACTGTAAAAGGTAGTTCAAAATTCTTAAAACATATAAATTTTTTTGAATTCTATATTATCAAGGTTCTAATAGCAATGCACATTCTCTAGGGACGTATATATAAGCCTTTTTCTTATTTCTCAACTAAAAGATTATCAAAAATGAGAAATCAAGATTTATTTTGTCACATTCTCCTAGGACACACATATATTGATTTGAAATGAGTTTTGTATAATGGAACATGACTACGAGTTATAGAATTGGGTAATCATGTTATAAAAACAATATATTGATTTGAAATGAGTTTTGTATAATGGAACATGACTACGAGTTATAGAATTGGGTAATCATGTTATAAAAACAATATATTATCTGCAAGTAATATTGAAAACCGTATTTTTATTCTAAAAATGTCTTTTCACATTGTAAATAAGATAATTCCCACTCACTGTATGTTTTACGATGACAAGTATCAATAGTAAATGACAGTCTCTATTGAATGTATAGTTGTTTTTTAGAAAACCAATGTTCGCATATGGGTTGTTATATATTGTATTGTCTAGAGTTAAAAGAAAAGATAGATTAATGTTGTATTCAAAGAAGTATTTAGAAATTTGTGATTCTATTCGATTATCTAAAATATGTCAAAAGGTTTTTTTTATTAGTATACATGAAATTAGTTATTTATTCATCAATTCATTCACATTTAATCAAATGCATTGATATTTTACTTTTTTTAATTAACTAATGTAATACACGAGTCTCATAAGTAGTTACTAAAATATGAATCGGATAAACATACTTTCATCTTAATCAAATGCACGTTCATCAAAACCTAAAAACATCCCATGAGCAAACACAATTGAAGCATAAACATCAGTTGTCATCAAGTCCTTGTTTTTCTTTGTTTTCTCCGACCACTTTAATATTCTTCGTGATGCCACCATTATTTACCACTAAAACATTTAAAAAACCGTATGATATGATGAGCCTTTTCTGTTAACACCAACTCACCCATATTAGTTCTATTACAAGCCCTATAGATTACAACAAAATCATATATATTAACATAATCATGTTCTGATTGCCTTTGATGTTGAGGATTAAAGCTAGAGGAATGCTTCCTGATAGGCCAGAGGAATGCTTTCTGATTTGGTGAGGGACAAGCCAAAGGGAGAGTACTTTAAACATTCGACGATGAGTTGCATAGATTCATCGTATTTGGAGGGTTCGAGATCGAGATTCATGTTCTAATTGCCTTTGATGTTGAGGATTAAAGACTAGCCCATGGTTTCTGCAACAGAAGAAGTCTCTGAGGAAGCATCCATTGATGCGTGAGGTTGAAGAAGATGAACAGTAGACATAGAAAAACTGCCAGACGATTTATTTGCTTTCTGAAAGTGGTAATTATTGAATGAAGTGTCAAAATCCTTTTATATGATGTAGGTAGTGAGATAAATATGTCGATTTGTTGCATCGGTTACTGAAAAATCTCCTAAAAAATCATGACTGACAGATGGACGTGCGTCAGGCGGCGTGAAATCAACATCATTTCAAATCATTGTCGTCTCAAATTCTCGCGACCAGACTTATCCATTAAGGTGTTGCGTCAGATACGTGCTTTCATAGTTGAATTAGTTATGAACTTTTACAGTTGATTTAGTAATGAACTTTCGCAGTGATGGACATCAACAAGTTTGCGAAACTCAAAGTAAATGTAAGTGCCACGAACCAAACTTTTGGAAAATCACAAGGATCTTCATGCAAGAGTGTGCCAAAGATAAAGAAATAAAACAAACTTTAGTGGGATATTAGTGATGTCTTATAAAGACATAAAGTAGTGGATCCCGGACAACGATATCTTCCTTTGGAGTCAAGAGAGACTCTAAAGTGTTTGTGTGGTTTCCTATTGAATTACGGCCACTTGTTTGTTAAGAAACAACGACATACATCTTTTGATTAGGCTTTAAGGGTGGTTTAATCTTCAACCAAACCGCGAAACTCGATATAAGTCTGAATGTTTGCTGAAGTACTTTTTTGACTGGTGTAATCATAAAAACAAGTATGCTTTGGAATTATTTTAAGTGGCTAGGATATGAATAGAAATCTCAAGAAAGATAAAAACTGGATCTATTGGGAAGAAATGTCTTATGTCTAAAACGCCTCATTAAGATCACATAAAAAGAAAAAGAGATTTCCTGGTACTAACCACGAAAGCGGACATTTGTTAATTCCAAGGTGAAATATCTAGAACATGTATATTGATCACTGTCAATTCGTTTATATGTGTTGGATTTTAGGTTTCACTCAATTCGTGGTGATAATGAATTTAAGATCATGAACACAGAGTTGGTTATAACCATAAACCTCAGTGGTAATTTCTGATAGTCTCAAGGGTTACATTTGTGAATTCGAAAGTTGATGGAGAAATGGTATGAGGTGGTTCAAAAGAAAGATTGTACCTATGCTATGCGAAAGTGATAAAGCAGGTAACTCTTAACTCGATGTGAGAAGAGTCAGGTAGCTCATGACTTATGCAAATTAAGATCCTTATTAGGAAGAAACGATTGGTGTAATCGATTCATTAAGGCTTCAACATAGAAATTCGTTGAGGTTTTGGTCTACATGCAGCAAAATGCTTCTAGGTATACTTAATTAGTGCATAGATAAGCAAGTTTGTACCTGCCCCATCAATCATAATTGAGATCAGCAAGATTCTTGACTTGAAACCTGCTCAATTATCCAATATTTTTGGTACTTTTGAAATAAGTAAAATAAAAGTTAAGAAAATAAAGAAAATATTTTTGTAATTTTGTTTTTCTAAAAAAGAAATAAAAACAGAAAGAAATAAAATATTTTTGGATTTTAATGTTTTGAAAAATAAGAAAACAAAACAAATAAAATATTTTTGGATTTTCGTTTTTCTAAAAAGGAAATAAAACCATAATAAAGTAACAAAAATGTACAAATGATACATGAAAATTCCAAACCACGAATGAACAATTGACTAAGAGTCACTGCTAACATTAGCACCAATTCGCAGTGTGAGCAGTTGGTTGCGAGTTGCTACGAGCGTTCACATCTATTCGTAGGATAAAAGATGACTGCGAGTCACTGAACGACCGTTCGCACCGATTTGTAGGCCAATCAAAAATTTATGACTGTGAAGGCGGTTTTGGAACGGACTCAGCGTCTATCATTCCTAAGCCTTGAAGAATGCGATTGAATGATTGTTCGGGCAAGGCTTTCGTGAAGATGTCACCTAAGTGATCAGTGGATCTTATAATCACTACTAAACAAACAGCCTTTTATGACGCGCAATTTGTGTTGTAAAAGGCTTAGACGACGCGCAAATACGTGTCAAGGAAGACCCTATCATAACGAGAGATGGCACGCATTTGCGCGTCGTCTATAGACGACGCGCAATACGACGCACAGTTACAACACACATTTACGACGCTCATTTACGACACGCAGTGCGTATCAATGAATGCCCTTTCATAAAGGAAGACGACACGCATTTGCGTGTCATAAACTTACGACTCGCATTGTGTATCATTAAAGGCTCTGTCAAGATAGGCCATGTCACAAATGAAGATAACACACCTTTCTATGTATCGTAATTTTAAATGTTAAAAAATATATTATTTATAGATCTACTAAATTTCAAATTAAATTTGTATTTATTGTCTCATAATAGAAAATAAAATATCATATACAAAAAATATAATCCATTACATAAAATTTAATGTCATACAAATAATCGTTCCATCGAAAAATAAAACAAATCAATAGAAGTTGTAACAGAATTTTACAAACTAATAGTTCTAATAACCTAATGTGTGCCTCACTGTAAACAAGATTTGTGCTGATTTTTTAAAATGTGTGCCTCACTTGTCTCCACTCTTCCTTAAACACCACTTAAGGACTCTAAACCTATGAACTTGCTCACAGTATCTATATTGCATGCAAAAAAAACTACAATATAATTGTGAAGATGGATTATTACATTGTAAGAGAAGTAGAGAACCTTGAGTTTCCTCTAATGGGACGCATGGGTAGTCAGACAAAAGAACACGAGGTTCTTGGCAACACATTTGATCTGAGTTTCTAGAGTAACTGATCTTTGTTCTTTGGCTAGCTGAAGGAATTGGGTACTGTATCAAGCAACACACACTGTCAAATTTGTATACTTTTTTATTTTTTTTAAAAAGTGTTTTGGTGTTGGAATTTTCTCTGCACTTGGGGCAGTGTTTGTTGGTTTTCATATGACCGAACTGATGAATCAAACCATAAAATCATCACGTCACAACATATGTAGACCATACTTGACCTTTGTATTTTATGTTAAAAAGGAAAAAAGGCATAACATTTGTAGACCATACCTGACCACAAGCTCCATATGAAAAACTCTCTTTTGCATTTCTCTTTGTATTTTCAACGTACATTAGGATAGATCAAGCAACAACTTATTGAACAAAATTATGTTAAAACTTCATCTTGTTTTCTGTGTCAATAAAGAGAAAAAAGCAATTAACTTACTAACCTTCAGAATATTCACTCCATCAATCAAAATTCTAAGCTTCTTATTTAGCAAACCACCAATTTGTTCAAGATTTTTTGGGCTTCATCTTTCCAGACTTCCTGTAAGGAAACATTTCATCCTGCCACCCCACCACATGAACATCAATCACTAAAACTATATCATATAAATATAAATATTACATAACACGGGTCCCACATAATGAATACAGAGTTACAGCAGACATAGTTTTCACAGGTGTGTTGAGTCCCTTCAACCTCTCCTTATTTTTCAAATTATGATTTGACTAGGGATGAGCAAGAGAACCGAACCGGCCGGAACCGGCCCGAACCGAACCGGACCGGGGAACCGGATTTGGCAAAAATGAAGAACCGAACCGGCCCGGCGGTTCTACCGGTTCCGGTTTTTGCCGGTTTTTCGAGTATGGAACCGGCTAAATTTTGATGTACCCAACGACTAAATTACTTTGCGTTTTATTGGTTTTTCGGGTCCGATTTTTGCCGGGTTTTCGAGTAATTCCAACGACTAATTTACTTTGCGTTTTATTGGTTTTTTATGAAGAAGTGGATGTTTAAATACTAGTAAATAATCAACATTTTAATAATAAAAATTTTAATAAACAATTCAACATTCAAGCAAATTAACCATGGGTCTTTTATTTAAATTATTACAAGCAAATTAAACATGGATGTCGTCAAAATATACTTCAACATTTAACATTCAAAATACACTTTCGACATTCAAAATATACTTCCAAGTTTCACCAACAAAAAAAAAAAAAGTCTAATATGTGGATTCCAACATTTCTTTGATATTTTGACTAATTTCCCGATCTCTTCCCCGTTAGCTTCAAGTTGTGTATAGCATCCACAATGTCTATATATAATTCAAAAGAAAAACGTTATTACTTACTAAAATGTAACAAATACTAATAAGAAGTTAAAAGTAAGATGTAACAAGTATTTTTGTATTACCGATAGCGAGATCATCGTCAGCTAACACATCGTGCACTTCGTCGTAGTCATATATAGGCAAGCTACTCTTTCTTAGCCAATCTTGAGTGCATATCAATGCCTCCACAATCACAACGGACAAATTAGTACGGTAGTCGGTAATTACTCGACGACCATTACTGAATGTGGATTCGGATGCTACGGTGGAAATTTGCATCCCCAAAATATCTATTAATAAACAAATTAGTGTATAACACACGACACAAATTTATAAATTAAAAATTTAAATTATAGTAAAAGAAGGTCGATACCTCTTGCCATTCGAGCAACGATCGGGAACCGCACCGCATTATTTTTCCACCATGTGAGGATATCATATCCTTTGTCAAATCCGATTGGGTCCTCGTTTAAGTATCGTTGCAATTGACTTTCTGACGAAGTCGAGGGGAAACTTCCCGAAGTCATATAGCTTCCAAAGAATTCGTTTTCATCATCAAAATTAACAACTTCTTCGGGAGTTTCTTGTTGAGACGATGAGGTCATGTTTGACCTTTCCAAGTATGTCTTGAAAAACTTATCCAATTTGCATTCAATATCAATAACCTTTGCACGTGCTTTGGATTCTATCTCATCAGCGGACATCTTTTTATCTTTGTTTTTGGCTTTAAGCATTTGGGTAAAAACAACTTTCATAAACTTTGACTTGCATTGAGGATCTAACAATGTGGCAAAGAAGACATAATCACTTATAGTATCATAGTCACCCCAATATTTGTCATATTTATCTTTCATATCCGGTACCATAAACATAAAATCCGGGTTGGTTTCATGTTTCCTAAGATGTTGCTCTATATCTAGGATCTCCCGGGTATACGTATGGAAGATAGGCTTTGTTGAACACGAAACTTTTTCAGTTTTCTTCTTAAACTTCTCAAGGAACTCCATCATCTTTTTAATCATCTCAAAATCTGAATGTGATGGTACCCTTCCCACAGTTTTCTGAAACATTGGATCTACAAAAAAAGAACAACAAAATCAGATTACGTTTTATTGTTGTTAGAAAAAAAAAATCAGATTTGACACCCTTCCTTGCGGGGCTTGTAATTCATTCAATTTTTAACCAAATCAAGCGTTTTTATAGTCTAAATTCCACTACTAATCCTAATCTACATGTAGGAAAAAGATTCAGGTCAAAACAAGTTAAATTGAATGAGTTATGCACATTTGAACAACAAAAGCACATCACGTTTTATTGCTGTTAGAAAAAAAATTCAGATTTGACACCCTTCATTGTGGGGTTTGTAACTCATTCAATTTTTAACCAAATGAAGTGTTTTTATACTCTAAACTCAACTACAAATCCTAATCTACATGTAGGAAAACGATTCAGGTCAAAACAAGTTAAATTGAACTAGTTATGCACAATTTAATATTTGGACTGATTGCTAAAGAAATAAATATTGCTAATTTTAGTGCTGAAATATATTTGATTAATTGATTTTATTTACCTTGATGGCTATATTCGAGAAATGCGTCTTTCACATCGTATGTTGATCTTAGCAATTCAAAGGTAGAGTTCCACCTTGTTGGAGTTTCACCACACAAAAACTTTTTGACTTTCTACAGCCGCATCCTTCATGGCTTGTTTAAAGGTCTTGATCCGTTGCGGGGAGGCTCTAATGTATTTCACCGCATCTTGTAGGTTTTTTACATGATAAACTTCGTGTTTTAACCCCATTTTCACAACTAGGTTTATGATATGAGCCATACACCTAATGTGAAAATGTTTGCCATTCTCGTAAATACCCGGTAGTTCTTTCACAATGATGTTGATTGTGTCGCGTCATTTGTCTTGGCATTATCAACGGTCATCGTCATGACATTCTTCATCCCCCACTCGTTTATGCAAATTAGCAACTCCCGGGCCATGTCTTCAGCTTTGTGAGTATCAACCTCTCTAAAGTTGACTACCCTTTTGTGCATGACAAAATCTTCGGTAATGAAGTGCGCTGTGACAACCATATAATTTATCTTTTGACACGAGGATGTCCACGTGTCGGTTGTCAAGTGGATGGCTGTTTTGGGGTTGCTCAAATGTTTGTACAACTTCTGCCTCTCCATTAAATAGAATGACACAACATCACGAGAAATTTTATGCCTTGAAGGCAATTTCACCCTACCATTGAGGGCGTTCACAAATTCTATGAATGCCTCGTTTTCAATGAATTTAAATGGTAGTTCGCCGATAGTGAAAAGGCCTAGCAAGGCAAGTTGGATCCTAGTATCATCATGTTTCCATGTGTATACATGACCCTCACCATTAGGAGCTTTCGTAAATGACAACTTTTGTTGTTTGTCATCAACTTCTTTCGGTATGTTGTCTGGATTTAACTTGCACCCATTAAAATGCTTATTTATTGAAGTTGTCCCATTCCGGTTTGGATCCGCAGCTAGTAAATGTAAACAATAATTACATTCGGCCCACTTTCTTTCAATTCCATCGTCCTCCTTTATCCATTCTATCTCGAAGTATTTCCAAACGGGAGCGGTACAATTATCTCTACCCTCACCTCGTCTAGTTGGGTTAATCCGGTCCCTTAACTCTTTTTGAGTCTTTTTTTTTGTTTTTGGGTTTTCGTTTTGTTGGGTATTTTTCTTGTGTTCGTTTTTGTGGTGGTGGTGGTTTTTTTTGTTTGTGTTGGTTTTTTTGGTTGTCTTCGTTTTTGTGGGGTTGCAAATTTTCGTTTTTTTGAAGGTTGTTGTTCTTGTGGCTCCTCTTCTTGGTTTGATTCATCACTTGGTATGACATTCCATGCCGGTGTTTCTTCTATATAATCTTCTTCTGAATCTTCTCCATAATCCTATATTCTCAAAATAAAACATATAATAAGTCATATTATGTTTAAATGCTGAAAAATAAATATTAAAAACAAATCAGATTTGACACCCTTTCTTCCGGAGCTTGTAAGTCATTCAAATTTTAACCAAATCAAGCGTTTTTATAGTCTAAATCCAACTACAAATCCTAATCTACTCGTAGGAAAAAGATTCAGGTCTAAACAAGTTAAATTGAATGAGTTATGCACAATTGAACAACAAAATCAGATCACGTTTTATTGTTGTTAGAAAAAAAAAATCATATTTAACACCCTTCCTTGCGGGGCTTGTAACTCATTCAATTTTTAACCAAATTAAGCGTTTTTATAGTCTAAACTCAACTACAAATTCTAATCTACATGTAGGAAAAAGATTCAGGTCAAAACAAGTTAAATTGAATGACTTATCAACAATTCAAAATTTGGACAGATTGCTAAAAAAGTAAATATTGCTAATGAGTTAAATGCTAATCTTACTTGATCATCAAAGTCTTTTCCAATCCAATTAGCCGGATTACCATCTTCAATATTGGCATCATGAACATCCGAGTTTCGGTATCTTGATGATGGTACATTTGGTAACCCATCTAAATCCTACATTGTCAATTTTACACATTAATTATATAACAAAAGTACTAAACAAATTTGTAGTTTTGACAATCTTACATAATTACATTCATACTATAAACAATAAACTAATCTAACAAAAATCTTGCATGTATGTCTACAAAGTACATTGTTAAATGGAGCTTAAAACATGAAACATATATTATATGTACAACCTTTCATCTGTAAAGGAGTACTCCACTATGAGAGTATGATCAAAAATCAAGATCTTTTAATTAACTAGGGATAACAATGCATATATTTGGAATGGATACAACAAAAGCAAAGAAAAAAAGCTTGCATGCATGCCATTATTTGGAGAATCATTGAAGCATTGAAACAAATATTGAAATATATAATCTTAAAACATGAAATATAAATATATGCTCTTACTTGATTTTCATGGACATCCATAGTTTGAATCATTGAAGCAATTGAAGATGAAAATCAATGAAGAATTGAAGGATGATAAAGAATTGAAGATCGGTTTAAAATTGGAGATGGAAACTTGTAATCGATGGAAACTTGGAGATGAAGAATTGATTCAATTGAATGATGATGAATGAAGAGATGCCGATTGCCAATTGATGAAGATGATAGCGAGTAGGGTTCGGCAGTGGGGGAGTTGCGATCGTGGCCGACTCGATTGTGTGTTTTTTTTTTGTGTTACGTGAAGATAGCGACAATGCGACTAGAAGATTGCCGCATGCGTGTACAAAGAAGCTGCGAGTTGCGACAGTAGGGATATGGGGTTTTAAGCCGGGCCGGTTCCAATAGCCGGTTCTTTCCGGGTCCCGGTTCCAAATAATCACAAATTTATGGTATAGGTCCCGGCCCGACCGGTTCCATCGGGTGCCGGTTCCGGGACCGGTTCCGGTTCCCCGGTCCTTTTGCTCATCCCTAGATTTGAGATAGGAGTTGCTCCCGTATCTTTCATTTTTTTTTTCTTCTTCCGATCTGCCTCGTCATCTCCTGAATCATAAATAAATAATTCTAAATGGAAGTTTTTAAAATAAAAATATAAAACATAACGAAGTATTAGTTGATACCATCCATGAGCATTCTGCATAACTCAGCAGCTTCATCTTCATTTTTCACATCAGCTTAAGCTTGTGAAGGCATGCGTCTCATTTTAAGGCCTTTAACACCAGCCACCAAGTTATTAGAATCATAATTATTATTATCCTCTTCATCTTCATCACATTCTTCAGCATCTAGAAGGTTCTCAAGATCCCCTGGAAATGAATCAAGGTCACTATGTGCTTCAATAAAAAAGTAAAGTAAAGAGTAAAATTTCACCTGAAAATCACAGAATAACTTCAACCTCTTCCTTAAAGAAACTTCAGCTACATTTGCAAACTGTGCAGATAATTCATTGGCACAAATGGCAGGTGTCAAGCCACGTTTTTGAAGAGTGCGAAACTCACGATATATAAACACCAGAAGCCTATTCATATTATACATCTGAACACCTTTTGATACAGGGGACATCACCTCTATGTGAGGCTCCTATTTACATTACACATTTTAAATAAATAAAGAAAGATAAAGATGGAAAAAACAAACAAACAGAGGAAAGATATAGGTCAAACCTGTTGACCAACAACGTAAATCCGGTCAATGCGTCTTAACGAGATCTTTCACTTTGGAGGGCGAATGAGTAAATAGTCAGTGGATAAGAGTTTATGTGGATAAATTGGAGCTCTGTACATATTTGTTTCAAGACATGATTGAGTTGAACCAAGCTTTATATCTCCTCAAAAAGAGGATTTATCAGCTGGATCAAGTGTAAGAATGTTCCCAAAATTGTTGGGCCCACTACGTAATTGGGTGGCTGTTTGATCACTAGGACTTGATTTTTGGTAATAACTGCACAAACGAGAACCCATTCCAGGGTTTCCAAGGAGTAAAGGCCTTTCCTCACAATACCTGATATAAAAAGAAAAAAAACATTAGAAATGTTTGAAACTAAAAATAATGCATGATCTTGGAAGAATACTTACTCCATTAGAAAAGAATGACCATCTCTAGCTGAAAGATCTGATTTCTTTTTAAAAGGTCCAGGAGAACGTAAGGACTTGTTGTCACTAGAAGTTTTTGAGCCCTTGGTAATAAATGTATTCTTGTAAAAACAAGATGCAGCAAAGAATTTGGTCTAACATCTTGTTCAGCGAGAGATTTTTCATCTTCAAGCTCCTTTCCAGAGTATATAATTTTCACATCTTCACTTGGTTTAAAATCTACCAAAAAGAAAGGAGAATTTTGTAAAAAAAAAATTTAACTTCAACAGAAACTTTTCCTTGGTAGATTTTTCTTTGAGAGATAAAACAGTCTCCTCAGCATCTACATGAAGCTTGCTCCCTTTCCCTCCTAAGCTTTTCAATACAATTTTCATTGACCCTTTTGTAAGCAGCTTTCCTTGTTCTTTAAGTACCACCACATTTTCATGAGTATACCATAAAGCTTTTGGTCTATGAAAATAGGCTATATCTTTACTGCAAATACAGTAAAAGAAAAATGAGTTGACAATAGAGTAAAAGAAAAATGACACTAGTGATTTTGTGGTTACTTGCTAAGCTTGGCTCATTGTCTGTAGCTTGAGAGCAGGTATGGAATGCAAGACTTTAACACCATGTGATGTGCGTTTCTTGGAATGTGATTTCAAATGTTGGGAAGATTTCTTGTTGGAATAGAATTTGTCATTAGTTATATTAAATCTCCCCCCTCCATAACCATTTAATAGCTCCAATGAATCTGGTGCTGACTCAGCATACCGAGTTGTGATCATGGCTCCAACATGAAGCTGAAGATCATCTCCATCTTTGTTATCCAATATTTCAAAAAGCATCTGTTCATCTTGAAGATCAAGAAGTAATTTCTGCTTTGTAACAGATTGATTCGGGTCCCACACTATTCGATCCATCCAAGATCCATCAAGAACATCTTTATTGCGAAAAGTGAGTTTGTTGAATCATTTAATGGTGTCGCTTTCAACTGTTGTATCTTTTTTAGCATCATAGTTTTCTTCTCCCAATCAAACCCAAATTAAGTCCTACTTTCATACAAGCAAATCACTTGATTCTCATGAATGTACTTAATCGAAACACAAAACAATCAGTGTGTGTTTAGTGCGATAAGAGAGTCAACAGTGGAGCAGAGAGTAAAGAAGAGAGAGTGTATTGTGGTCAGCAGTTCTAAAACTATTTTACAAGTTTCAATAAGAGGATCCCCTAATTGACAAATCAACGGTTGTGTGCTTGGCTGCTTCTGCTTGCATACTTGGCTAGAGATCACATGATCCCAATTCTTTAACTCCTAAAGGCAACCTCTCTCCATCGGAGACCTGAGAATGAAAGAAGGAAAGAAATTACAGTCATTTTGAAAGAAATTTGAATACAAGAAAAAAACCGTTTTTTATTTTATTTTTGAATAGACAAAAAAGCATATGGACACAATTCTCATTTGCAAGTTCTGGATTTCTTGCAGGATCTCTCATTTGCTGACAAATTTAGGGTTAATACAAGTGGACTAATTAAGACAAAATTTTGAACCCAAAACTTCAACCATATTGCTGATCTCGACTCATTCACCCATGGAAGAATAAGGTCTACACTGATCCTAATTACAATTTGTACTAAGCTTATCCAGAAATAGAAAGCTAGATAATGTCACAATTACATCAATTCGTTAACCATATTGCTGATCTCAGCAAATAGTATGTGTCACAATTATCAAGCATTTGCTTCAAATGGGATCAAAGACTTATCTTTAAATTTTGTATCTTGCAGATGACAACTTTGAAATCAGTAAACAAAGATCTGAAAGGAATGATGAAAACTATGAAGATACAAGACATTGATGTTAGTATAAATATTATAAATCTCTTTCTTTTGATACTTTATAATTACAGACCATTTAATCTTGTTTTTATGTTTAGAATTTGCAAGATGAAATGATGGACATGATGGATATAAGCAGTGAGATACAAGAATCTCTTGGTAGAAGTTACTGTGTGCCAGATGATATTGATGAAGATGATCTCATGGGTGGTACGCACAGATTTATTATTATTATTTTTCTTTTTTTAAATGTTAACTTCACTTTATGGAAATGTTTCAGAACTTGATGCTTTGGAGGAAGACATAGGTCAAGAAACTGAAAGTGAAGGGGTACCTTCATATCTTCAACCTGATAATGAGCCTGATCTGAATGAAGATCTTAATTTGCCTGCAGCTCCAAGTGGATATGCAGTGCCAGCTGGTAGAGTTAACAATCAGGTAACTTTTTATGCTTAAAATTTGAAGTATAATATTGTAGTAGTCATTAACTAATGTAGCTCTATTGCAACCCATTAAATCCAGAATTTAGGTCAGGAAAATCAGACTCTTAAATTTATGCTCAAAATAGTAAACATGTGGATGTGTCTGTGGTGTTGTGTGCGACTGTGAACAACTATCATAACGGGATTAAGAAACAGAAAAGTACGATAGATGGATGTCTCACCTGAGCAATACAAAAACTAGAATAATGGAGATGGAATGGAGCGTACCTGAGACGCTTAGAGAGTAGAATTGGGGATCAATGAAGGAGGAGGAAATCACGATTAAAATCTATATCGCTTTTCAAGTTAGGGTTTTACAGAGGAGAATCAAAATCGAAATCAGAGATATGAATAAAGGAGAAATAAGAACCTGGATCTTTTCTTTGACATTCTCGATGGTGACGTTGCTCTCATCAAAATTAAAGAGGGATAAATACAAAGTTGGAGACAGAGATCGTATGAACTCCAAACTGACAACGGATTGTGTTAAATATATAACAAAAAATAGAGGATGGCAGTGGGAGACACTCGTAAGGGTCGAAGAGTCATCTTTCATTGGAAGTCGACGGCAGTGGGAGATACTCGGAAGGGTCGAAGAATCAGCAGATGGCGGAAGGTGAATGGAGGTTTGAGAATTGAGAGAGAAGAAAGATAGAAAGAAAGGGAGTTTTCGACGGGGATGAGCTAGGGTTTTCAACCAATGGAAACAAAGCGGGCTTTTTAATTTTTGGATTTCATTTCCCCCTCGGATGAAACGTGCATTTCATTAAAATTTATAAAGCGACATGGTTAGATGACACACATTTTATTTAAGGTGCCCTTCATGTTTTTTTATTAGACACTAATTTTAGGGCATGCAAAAAATGCGTGTCATCTATGCTTCATATTTTGCAAAACTGACATCAATTTTTAGGGCACTCACAAATGTGTGTCCTCTATCAGCGCGTGTCATTGATTGTGTGTCGTAAAAGGCTGTTTTTATAGTAGTGAAAGTGTAACTCGACATTTCCATCTTCGAAGTGATACCTCAGTGTTATGTGTTTCATTTAGGAATGTTGCACTGGTTTGTGACACATGCAAATAGTGCTTTCAGAATTGCAATATAAGGGATTCATTTCATGTTGATAGCATAGTCACAAGGTTAACCCTGAATCCAAATGACTTGTGAGGTGCACGATGCAGCAACTATGTACTCTGCTTCAGCAGTCGATAGGGAGAGACAAGTTTGCTTTTTAGATTCCAACTTACGAGTTTGCCATCATGAAATTGATGTCCGCAACCCATTGTACTTTTTCTATCTAGACAGTAACCTCCAAAATTAGCATATGAAAACGCTTGCACAAAGAAACTTGAACTCCAAGCGTAGCATATTCCCAATGAGGATGTTCGCTTGAGATGCCTGAAGATGTTCTTAATAGCAGTCATGTGAGGTTCGCGATAATTAGCTTGAAACCTAGCCCAATAACAAACAGAAAACATGATATGTGGACGGCTAGTAGTTAGATACATCAATGACCCTATCATTTAACGATAAAGAGTCATCAGCTGCTAGTTTATCCAGAGATGGAGTTAGTTTCGTTTTGAATTACATTTGAACCTTCACTTTTGAATCTCTCGAGAGTAAGGTCTTTGTATAAGCTTGCTGGTTGATAAAGATCCCTTCCTGTCTCTGTCTTATATTTAAGCCATAAAAAGTTAATCGGACCCATGGAATTCATCTCAAATTTAGTTTCCATCAACTTTCATAACTCAAATTTAAGTTGGGGTTAGTTGATCCGAAGATGATGTCATCAAAATAAATTTGGACGATCATCAAACGGTCACCGTTTTTCTTGCGAAAGAAGGTTGGGTCGACAAATCTTTGTTTAAATTTAGCCTATTCTTAAAAATGAGTTAGAGTTTCGTACCAGGCTCTTGGAGCTTGCTTTAGACCATAGATTGCCTTGTCCAAAATGTAATAGTGGTTTGGATATTTTTCGTTTATGAACACTGGTGGTTGTTCCACGTACACTGTTTCTTCAAGTTCCCCATTTAGGAATGCACACTTGACATCCATTTGATAGACTTCAAAGTTCTTGTGTGCTATGTAAGCTAGAAAGATGTGAACAGATTCTAACCTTGCAACAGGTGTGAATGTTTCTTCGTAGTTGATTCCTTCTTCCTAATACTAACCCTTTACGATGAGTCACGCCTTATTTCTTATCACATTGCCTTCCTTATCCATTTTGTTGCGAAATACTCATTTAAGACCAACAACAGAATCATCCTTCAGAGTGGGAATAAGTCTCCAGATTTTGTTTCGTTCAAATTCATTAAGCTCCTCCTGCATTGCTTGCACCCAGTCAGAATGATCAAGAGCAATTTGAACATTTTTAGGTTCAATTTGGAGATGAACATGCAAAATTCCACTTTAGAGAATAGTGCAGTTCGCTTCACCTTTTATTGAGATCTTGTAAGAATGTATGAAGACGAGTCTGCAATGACTTGAGTTTTTGGATGATATTTGGTCCATTTAGCTAATAGAGGGTAGTTTGGATCATATGATGGATCCAATTTGACATTCAATTCTTCAAATTCTAATTGTACATCCGAATCATCATTCATATTTCCATTCTCCCCGTTGCATGATGTATGATTATCACCTTTTGGATTCGGATGCTCCCACTGGAAAGGTGGTTCTAGATTGACATCAGGGGTTTCGTTCTCCCCCCACCCCTGAGCATGTGATTTATGTGAGGAGGTTGAAGTAGAATACTCCCCCAACAATATAACATTCACATTTGAAGATTGCAATGGACCTTCATGGTCTTTCGGAGTGGGATTCTCATGTTCCATTTCTTTTGCAGCATCATCAATGATTTTCTTTAGTTTGTCTTCTTTGTTGTCTGTTTCTTTGAACTCTGAGGATATTTCCTTCTGTGGTTCATCAAATAGGTTCATGAACTCCTCGTATAGATTGGAGAGTGGGATGGTAGCAAGATTTGGTTTAGGGAATATCTCTTGTGTTGGACTATCATTCTTTTGAAACGCCTGCGTGTAATTGTCGTCGAACATAGCATAATAGGTTTCTTCAATCCTTTTGGATCTTTTGTTGAGAACCTGATATGCTTTATAAGTAGGAGAATACCCCAGAAAGATACATTCATCAGCCTTCACATCAAATTTGTTCCTTTGTTCCTTTGAGTTGAAGATGAAGCACCTGGAAACAAAAACATGGAAAAACTTGACGTTAGGTTTTCTATTATTTATAATTTCATATGGGATGATAAAGAATCGCTTACTAAGAATAGATCGGTTTTGGGTGAAGCAAGCAGTTCCTATCGCATCCGCCAAGAAGTAGAGTGAGAGATTTGTGAATGACAGCATTGTTCTCGCAGCTTCGCACAACGAACTGTTTCATCTTTCGACTACACCGTTTTGTTGATGAGTGTAAGGAGCTGAAAATTGTGAGTTACTCACTTCGCAGTCAGGAATTCTTCAAACGCTTGAATTTTGAATTCAAGACCATTATCATTGCGCACATTGCGAACCAACTTTCGCAGTTGAAGCTCTATTTGCTTTATGTAGTCCTTGAGCTTAGGAGTGGCCTCTGATTTCTGTTTAAGAAAATGCACCCAAGTGAATCTGGAAAAATCATCTACAATTACGATAATATATCTATTACTACCAATTCTTTCTATTGCAGAATGACCACAAAGGTCTATATGCAAGAGTTCAAGGGGTTCATAGACTTTCGTGTTCACAATTGTTGGATGATTCTTCCTACTTTGTTTTCCCATTTCGCAGGATGCACAAAGATGTTCTTTGTCAAATTTTAGGAGTGGTATCCCTTGCACATGATCTCCAAGAATGATCTTGTTGATATTTTTAAAATTGAGATGCAAGAGACTTCTGTGCCATAGCCAGCTATCATCAGTGGAAGCTTTCACAACCAAGCAAATTGTTGGCTTCCCTTTGATGAGATTCAAATTCAGTGGATACATTTCGCCTTTGCGTTTTGATTTCAGAAACACAACCTTGGACTTCTTTTTGATAATTTCTGATCCTTCGTCGTCAAAAGAAACTTTCAGTCCAATTCTCACTACTAACTGCGACACACTAATGAAATTGTGTTGTAGTACATCCACGTATGCAACCTAGACAATTGAAAATTATCCATTGGTACTCATCCGATATCCTTTGATTTCACCAAGGGAATTGTTGTCATATTTTACTCCCCCTCCATCCTTTCGTGCTCTAAACTCTCGCATTTCCTCCTTCCTTCCTGTCATGTGACGTGACCATCCACTGTCGATGTACCATTCAGAGTCAAACTGCTCGTGACATGTTACCTGCGAAGGTTAAGCAGATTTAGAAATCCATAGTTATTTCGGCCCTCGTGAGTTTTTCACATGAAAAGAAATAGCAGAGTCAACCAAATAAGTTCGTTTTATTAAGTTGTTTTTATCTTTCTTTGTGATTTGAAAAACAATAATACTTTTGTCTTAGAGTTCGTATCCTTGGTGGATGGTTTCTTTTGCTTATTTTGGATTTACTGTTTAATCACCTTTTTCTCAACTATCTTAGGATTAGTTTAAGATCTTTTGAGAGAAACATTAGGCTCAAAAACTATCTTTCCTTTTCCTTTAACATCTTGTGATGTCTTGGCTGAATGCGAAACATTCTTGTTAGGAGAGAAGTGAGAGTTGGATTTATGCAAAGGTTTCTCTTGATTTCGAAAGAATGGTTTTTGAAAAACTTTTTGATTTGAGACCTGTGGAGACCTATTAATATGAAGACTCTTAGGATTCATATGTGAAGAGACTTTTGCATTTGGATTGGATTTTTCTTTATAAGCGAAATTGGGGTTCTTGGACTGCCAGAATTGCTTTCTTTCCTTGAGGTTTTTGGTATATCTAGGATTTCGTTGCCGTTTTTGATCTGCGAACTGCTCAGATGATTTGTGAATGTTAGCACTTGGCTTTGGCTTTCTGGTAGGGGTTTCAGTCCGAACAGATGATGTTTCACTTGGAATGTTCTTAGTTCCACTTGGACTTCCCTTTTCGTAGCCTAAATTCACTTTGTTTAGGGGTTTTGCTACGTATATGCTCCTTGTTATCCACGAGGTCATTTCAGATAGACCTTTGGTTTCATCTACATTGTCGATTGGAGCAGACCAAAAGTACTCATCACATCCATCTTTGTGGTCATCTTCGACCACGAACATTAATTTAGCTGTTTGATTTTTGTCTAGTCCTTTAGTTGCAAAAACTTGGTTAGGAACAGTTTGGACTTTAGGAAAAAAAGAATTGATTTAGCTTTTAAAACTTTAGGTTTGTTTTTAGAAACACGTGCGAACTCAACTGAATCTTCAGAAATTAGGACTTTCACAGGAACAGGTTCATTTTTAACAAACTCAGAACAGTCAACCTCATCCTCCACAGAGATTTCATTCATATCACTTTCATCTTCGAATTCAGAAACGTTTTCAACATCAATTTTGTTTTCTGGATTTAACTCGGTGCTTAATGAGTCAAATTTCTACATATTTTGGGTTTAAATTTGCTATTTGTCTTTTTCATCCAAAAGTTGTTTGAGCATGTTTTTATGATCTTTGGACTTAATGAATGATTCAATTTTG